AAATGCACAAATAAATAAAAATGGCCTGAAATGCAAACTGGTCTGGAGGTCTGCAACATTTGCCTACATTAACTTGGATAGCTAGTCATGCTGAGACGAGGGCAAAATGCCCACCAGTGGCTGAATCCAGAATAATCAGATCCTCTCTTGAGTTAACGACATGTCGGAGGGAAGGAATTGAACTGAGCTTCAATGGGGAAGGGAATAAAGGGGGGAAAAAGAGTGGCGCTCAAGAGGTTAAGAGATGTGCTGTTATTTCTATATGGTGTTTTTGTTCCTGTTGGGACTGTTTCCACTACTGAGTCTAATTACTTAGCTCTTTATGCGCTATCCATTTCTTTTCATCATTTTAAAAACTTCAGTTGCCATAACAACATAATGCAATCAGTGAAACATAGCAGCTATTTTCTGTAGTCAAGGTCTGTGCGCTGTCAAGGATATGAGCCATTTAAGCAAATCTTCCCCCTCTCTCCCATCCCCCACGTCTCTCTCTTTTTTCACTAAACAAGCTCATAATGGGAAGGATAAACCATCAGGAATAATTAGACACAGTAGTGGAGCGAATCCCAACAGCGCGGGTGCAGTCTAGCCTAATGAACTTCTAGCAATAATCCTGGAAATGTTGATGTTGATGTTCCTTTTTAATCACTTCTTTGATGTCATAGATAGATTAGGTGCAGCAGGACCTCGGTAATTCGCTTTAATGTCAGGAGACCTGTTGCGAATTACTGAATGTTGCAAATTAACGAGTAAGAGAATAAAACCCAAGGATTCTGCATAGCAAATATACATTGTTGATTTTCTTCAGCTGTCCTTTCATTTCAAGTATTTATGTATATATATGCTCTATAGTGCATTAGTAAATATAATGTATATTTTGTAAAAATGGAATTTGAATCATATGAATCCTCGCTGTAACAACTATTATTAAATCTTTGCTGGGGGAGAGGGGAGACGCTGCATTTTTGTGTGAGTGGTAAGAAATGCAACTTCGTGTAGTGTGCTCTGCTGAGCTTCTCCTGCCGAGAGATAGTAAATAGCTTGGAAATAAGTCGAACAGTCTGTCTGAGCACTATTCTAAGCTGTGCATGTAAGGTCAATTATAAGATCCCTGCTCAGGATTTTACTCAGTCCTTGCTCAGACAAAACTCACGTGACTTCAATGAGGGTTTGCCTGAATAGTAAAAAGTGAGTTTAGGAGCACAGGATTTGGCTTAGGTGGCCCTGATCTGGCAAAGCACTGAAGCACGTGCTTAACTTTAAGCCTGCAAGCACCCCCATTGTTAAGGAGCAGGCTGAGGATGGAATGGAATGTTGGTATTCAGACAGTTCTTGCCTATTCACTATCTTCCATGTTGTTTGATTTTCAGCACCGTATCCAAGCAAAGAAAAAACGTCATCAGCTGTGTCACAGTGCACGATTCGCCCTACTCCGATTCCTCCAGCAACAACAGCCCCTATTCAGTGCAACACCGTGGGGCACACAATAATGGGAACACCTATGATACAAAAGGGGTACCAGAGACCCACTGCAGCGGGAACCCCCGAACTATAATTGTGCCACCGCTGAAAACCCAAGCCAGTGAGGTGTTGGTAGAATGCGATAACCTGGTACCAGGTAAATTGCACCTCTTCCCTCAAGAAAATAATCATAAGAAATAAACATCCAGCTTGGAAGAATCTCACTCTTCAGGTTCTTTAAAAAATAGATGCTGTGCGCCTTCTCTTCCCCAGCACACCTTGCACAGCTGTTCTTGGGAGGCGTCGTGCATTATTAACGTGTTGCATGGAGGCACTTCAGTGTAGCTGGGAGTCATAAGGGCTAAGTTTTTTCTCGGTTACATCATAGATCATCCAAGAACAGAATTTGGCCCCTCCTGCAGACATTGATATCAGGGCCCTTACACCAGCTTGAGCTGCCATGTAAGGTTATATATTTACTTTAAAATGGGCAAGAGTTACTTAGATTGAAAGCCCTGTTTTTCATCCAAACCTGCTAACGTTTCTGGGGGAACAGGCTCCCCTGGACTGGGTGTGTCAGGTTTGCTCACCCACCTTCGGAGCCTCCACTGTTCTGGAAAACACACCGGATCAAAAAGGGCCCTCTTCTGCAGTTCCCACCTGCAGCGCTGGGTTCTGCGCTGTGTGATTGTCCTTTTGTTTCATACATTGCAGTTGCGAGATTGTGCACCAAGGCTCAGAGCGTGGGCTCTCCCTTTTTCTCCCTCCCTATTCACGGTGAGGATGGCCAGGCTAAGGGCTTTCCTTGCTTTGCATTCCAGGCCTCTATCTTTTCCTTTCTCTCCTTAGCATCTGCCCACTCGCTTCCTGCCGTTCCCCAAGCAGAACACTTTCTGGCACTTATGAGGGTTCAGCCTCCAGACCCAGTTAGCGATTCACATAGAGGAGTTTGTATTGTTGCCTTGGGGGCAACTGGCAGGCCCATGTTTGTGAGCTCCCAGAGGTACTGTTAGGTAAGTACCTTCCTATAACTAGGAGGAGCCATTTCCAATGCACCCTTTCTTATGTGTCTCCTTCCACAAGCCACCCAGAGGCGACTCAGTGAGGGAAGGGTTGGTTAGATGATGTAAGACATTATTTAAGAACACGTGTTTTCTTTTCTGTCACAGTCACCACCAGTCATCACTCATCCTCCTACAAGTCCAAGTCCTCCAACATCGTGACCTCCACCAGCGGTCACTCTTCAGGGAGCTCGTCTGGAGCCATTGCCTATAGGCAGCAGCGGCCAGGACCACATTTCCAGCAGCAGCAGCCTCTTAATCTCAGCCAGGTAAGCAACCTGGGAGGGAGGCAGCAAGTAGGCCCCACAAAAATGTGCCATCTAATGTGTATTTTGACATAGCATCTTCCTTATGTAACCCATACCCACTCAGTGTAGTACTCTCTTGCCCTCTAGTGGTGTGTTACATCTTTCAGCACAGAGAAGAGGGGCTCATGCTTTTAGAACCAGAAGTCCACAGTTCAATTCCCACTGCTAACAAACCACGCAGGGTTGCACATACATTGCACGTACAAAGTATCTGAAAAGTCAAAACGTTTTACCTTGAGAGAAAAGAGAAGCAACGTAGACAGGCAGGTCTGTGTGCTGATTATAGGGGAGAATAGAGGGGGAAGGTATAAGAAAGGGGTGGGGATTCATCTCAATGATAGTCAAATGTCAAGACAAAGCCTTTTGAGTGAGGTTTGAAGGGAGGGTGTGACTGGCTGTCGGAATGGAAGACATTTCCAATCAGAGGTGACAAGTGGAGTGGGCATACAAATTGTGGCCAGCCAGAGATGTCATGTAGTCAGAAGTCCATTTCAAGATTGCTTCATCTGGGCCAAGATTTAGGCAACCCCAGTTGGGTGACAGCAGGCTGCACCAGATGTGTTTCTGAGTCAGAGCCAGAGAAGCCCAGTGCTGCCCAGCAGTTTCAGTAAGAATATTCTTTGTGTTTATTACATCTGACACCCATCTCTTCTCTATTGTGAGGTAATGGCCGTCAGGAGGGGACAGCAAAGATGCCAAGATTTCAGGAGTGGGAAGCTCTGAGAACTCAGAGGGCAGTGTTGACTTTGATACAGAGCTTAATAAAAGAGAAGCTGTTCAAAAAATGATAACATTTTCTGGCAAAACCCGTGTTTCAAAATTTAGCTGAACATTTGAAAAAAATTGACCATCTCTAAATTAAAAGTGAGGGAATAAAAGTGAGTGAAACTGGTGAAAGGTAGAGATGATGGGATCCTGCTTCCAAGAATGAGAGTGTAGTTTGGCTGCAACATTCTGGACCCTAAAAATACAGGGGGAGGATTTAGGAAAATGATAAAGGGGAATTGGAAAATAGAAGTAAGAAAGATGGGGCAGTGTCATTCTTGTTTGACAATTGTTTTCTAATCCCTGTTTTCTTGGTTATTTAATACTTTGACTGTCAGATTGCACAATAGTCATAACTGACTGAGGAAACACTTTGGCACCATCATGCAATGTAAGGAACCAGTTTAGAAAATCCCTAGTGTTTGGGAAGAACATATCTTCTCTCCTAAGGCAAGAACAGAAGTTACCTTTGTTCAAGAAGTTACAGATGATTACATGAAAGTTCTGAGAGAGGAAAGTCTTCAAGACTTGTTGGGGCCCGGAGTTGCTGGGGGAGTATGTTAGGCTGCCAACCTAGGAAGTGAGAGCATCAAAGACCACCGTTATTAAATCAATACAACTGCCTCTGCCCATGCTGGACTCCAGGGCTTTCAGTTCAGCAGCTTTCATCAGTGTTAAATTCACTGTCAAATTTTAAAAAGGCTTGTCTGAGCCTAGCCATGGATCTCACAGCAGAAACTCTTACTGCATCTCTGTGATGCAAGGTTGTGGGAGTCTTCATGTTAGCTGCCCTTCCAGGCAATGAGTGCAGTCCTGTAATGTTCTCTAGAGAGCTGCTGTGGTGGCCCCATGGAACATAGGTTTTTGAGGGACCCTGTGCAGCCCTGCTGCTTCCAAGAGAAGTTTACTGTGACATTGAGGATTTGAGGAGGAGGGGAAAAACACATGGGAAATTGTGACCCCCAAACCCCTCAGAATCTCCTGATCCAGGTGTGTCCATTCTGGTTTACCAAGGAATGTCATGTGAGGTCTTAAAAGAAAGCCAGGATTATGATGGTCATTAATATTGTTGTGAAATGTATGTACAGACACTGTATAAGGAGTTATGTCCATATACTGGAAATATGTTCTGAAGTCTGTATCAAGGCAGATTTGACAGGTTTTCTGTCAGACAAAAGATGTTTATTGACTTATCTCTCTGTCTGCATGTAAATTAAGCATTGTAAGCCAACACAAAGGAAGCCCAATTTACATATGAAATCAGTGGGGTGACGCACTGGAGAATAAGTCACAGGGGTTTATCCTGCCTCTGGGTAGAGACAATGAACTTTGGGAGGCATAAGGAGAAGGCTAGAAAGGTTAGCCTGTTAAATTTAATCTCTAGAAATCTGGTAGCCCTTTTGTTTCCATTATCCTTACTGTCTCTCGCTCTCGAATCTTTGATGATAACCTTACTGTTGTTTTCTATACACATATCTCAGTGCTGTGGTATTATACGGGGAGCTGATCCTGAGTTTAGGGTTCAAAAAAGAACTAGCTAAGTTCATGGAGGATAGGTCCATCAATGGCTAGTAGCCAGGATGGCAGGGATGGTGTCCCTAGCCTCGGTTTTGCCAGAAGCTGGGAATGGGCGACAGGGGATTGATGATTACCAGTTCTGTTCATCCTGTCTGAAGAACCGGGCGATGGCCACTGTCAGAAGATAGGATACTGGGGCTACATGGACCTTTGGTCTAACCCAGTGTGGCCGTTCTTATGAGTTGAATCATTCAAGCTGGTGTGCACTCTGTTCTCTTGGGGACAGCAGACCTGGTATTTCTGTGGGTGTTCAGTGGAGAAGGGGCTGGACTCTACAGGGGAATGCTTCAAAGGGGCTCAGAGACTGGGGTGCCCCTATTGTTAATCTTCAAGGCAAAGGAAAGGCTGGCATAGCCCAGAGGAGAGTGCATGGATGGTGAACAGGCTGGAGGTGTGAGGGAGCAGACTCCCACTCAAGCATAAGAAGGTCTCCCCCCTGGAGGCAAGGGGTTAACAAGGTGACTCTGACTCCTTGGTGCCCCGAGCACCATCACAGAAATCACCTTGGCTCTGGAAGGAGCTCACTCCAGGAGCTAGAGGAAAAGAACAACCTATTGTCTTCTAACTGTCCTGTATTGTGCTCTCTTTGTGCAGGCCCAGCAGCACATCACGACTGATCGCACAGGGAGTCACCGGCGACAGCAAGCCTACATCACTCCAACAATAGCTCAGGCTCCGTACTCCTTCCCACACAATAGTCCCAGCCATGGTACGGTCCACCCCCACCTGGCTGCGGCAGCAGCGGCTCACCTCCCCACCCAGCCCCACCTCTACACATACACCGCCCCCGCTGCTCTGGGCTCCACAGGCACCGTTGCTCATCTGGTGGCCTCCCAAGGGTCTGCTCGTCATGCTGTGCAACACACCACTTACCCGGCCAGCATTGTCCACCAGGTTCCTGTCAGCATGGGCCCTCGGGTTCTGCCATCACCCACCATCCACCCAAGTCAGTACCAGGCTCAGTTTGCCCATCAGACCTATATCAGTGCTTCTCCCGCTTCCACAGTCTACACTGGATACCCGCTGAGCCCCACCAAGGTCAACCAGTACCCTTACATCTAAACACTGGAATGAGAGAGAGAGAGAGACCCGCAAAGAGGGAGTGAGGTGGCTGTTTTTATACTGAAGAACATGACAAACAATGCAATGGGAGGCTCACTTGAAACTTGAACGAAGGAGACTTTAAGGGAGAAATGAGAAAGGAAAGAAGGAAAGAACTAATTCTACACTTTTTATTTAAAAAAAAAAGAAAAAGGAAAAAAAAAGAGTGAGAAAAATAAAACAAAAACACAAAATACAAAACCATCCTGCACCAAACTGGGGGGGGAGGGGGAAGGGGGGAACAGATGGACCCAAAGTGGGTCCTGTTTTTGGAGAACTTCACCAATAGACTTTTAAAGATTATTTTAATCTGATAATGAGCTACATTTAGGAATTTGTTGTCCAGAACACCTAAAACAAAATCCATTAGGTTTTTAACCCAATAAATCTACAGATTAGGGATTTATCCAGAATTTCAAAGGGATAATGCCCCATTTTTGCACTGGTCTCTGTAACCCAAAGGTGTGTGAGGTGTTTTCCATGGGGAAGGTAAAAGGAGGGGAGCGGACAGGGGTGGAGGAGGGGAAGGGAAGGAATTTTTTCCATCACTCTAAATTTCAGACCTAGCACTGATATGCTTAAAAACGTGTACACACGAACAAGAATACACACCATTTGTCAAGATCAGAAGCATTTGAGGCTATTTTTCCCTGTCTCTGAGCACCCTGGATAAATCCCTGAGAAATGTTATTCTTAAAAAATGTCTTTAATAGTGTATGTTGGATTTCAGTTTCTTTATTTTATTTTATTTTGAAATTTTCTTTTTAATCCCCAGCTCTTTTAGTGTAGGAGTAGAAAATTTCTCTGGCCCCTTGGTAGAATGTAGCACTATACAGTACATACACCCTTTTTACTATATTGTGTTGAACTTCAGTGATACCAATAGACTATTCCTCAATGTGATTGCACAAAAACAAAACAACAACAACAACAAGAAAAAAAAAGATATAACATAGGCATGTAACAAATGTGATTGTCCAGGTATGTATGTATATGTGTGTGTGTGTGTATGTGTGTGTGCGTGCGCGCGTGCAGATGCTGCCTTCTCTCTGTGGTGTGTTCCTCAGCACAGCCATTACAACTGTCACAGTCTTAGTTTTACATCATTCCCTCGTAGTGCCTTACCGAACTACAGATGCGGTTTAAGGGTTTACTTCCACTGGTACGCCTAGAAACTGACTGAATTTCATCTGAGCTCTTCTTCTTTTGCGGTGGTGTTGATTTTGTGGTGGTGTTGATTTTCTTCTTCTAGGTTATTTTTCCGCCCCTGTTGTTGCTCTTTAGTCATTTGCCGATGTGCAGGTGTCAGGAAGGCTTGTGGGGGCTGGAAGGACATACCCGCAGATATCTGTTTAACAATATATGGGCTAGAAGTGACCAGATTGGTCATGAGACCCTAATGTAGCTTCCCAAAGGGTCAAAGGTTTTGTTTGTGGGTCTGTTTTTTCCCCCTTGGGGAATAAAAAATGTCCCCATCAGAAGTTTAATTCTCATTCTGCTGTTTGCTAACATTCTTAGAGGATTAGAAGGACAGATTCCTCCCATCCTTACTTTGCAAACATCTAGAGTGTTACGTTGCCAGAGTACTATGTCAGAGAGAAGGAGGAGTGGAGATTTGATCCATCAGAGGGGGAATGCTTAAGGACACTTCTAGTAGAATTCCAAAGATGGGAAAGAAAGAAAGCAAGAGAATGAGAGAATTCAGTCTAGAGCGTCAAACTCAGGTTTCCTGAGTGAAAAGAGAAAATTTTGAGACATCAAGGCCCTACCCGTTGTAATGTAGTTCTGACCGTGTTCTTTCCCCTCCCTCATCCCATTTGTATAAAAGCTGTAGTAGAATGCTGTTTGAACTTGGTGAAAAAATTCTTGCTCTGGGTCCTCAGCTCCAAAGGAACTCTAAACAGTCTTGTTTTCGGGTAGTTTCCAAAGAGAGATTTTCTTACAGCTGCAGGGTTAAGAGGGAAAAGGCGATAAAAATGGGTGCACCATTGCATCAATACTTAGAATTTCATATGTACTTGTGGGGGAGGGGAGAAGAGCCCAATAATAAGGAGGTTTGGTGGCGTGTTCCCATCAAAGATTAGGTCTGCATGGCCATTCAGTGCCACTATAGAATCTACCTAAACCTAGAGCAAGGAGTATTTCAAGGTTTACTGCAAGATTCTAGAAAATGGCAGGTCAACTGGCAGAGTGAAGGTGGATGGATCCCATGGATGGAGTTAAGGAAAAGGTCTCTCTCTCTCGAGAGAGAGAGAAACTGGCAAGAGACAAGCACAGCTGTAATATCTGATCATGAGCATTTGTCCAGCCTTGAAGAAGGAAGGGATCTCCACATGCATAGATTGGGCAAGATTATTTTATTTTGGGAAACCATCAAGTATCCCTCATGTTTGCCATTTCAGATTCATGGGCTATCCTTGCACAGTTTTATTTTCTCATCTCTCCCTCGCTCCCACTAAATATAATGTAAATCAGGATCTGATTCTCAGCAGTCCATGCACCTTACATTCTTCCTTTAGAAAGACCACACTTTCCCATTTATCAAAGCCAGGAAATTCCCTGTTCTCCCTGTACTTTTCCGTTGCATTCCTCTCATGTCCCATTGGTTCAGGTATGAAAGCGTCATGCTGCTTGTGTCATTAAAAGGAATAATATTGTTATTTTACTGTATGATTGTTCTGATTATTATTATTTTATTATATTTTACTCTGGGTTTTAATTGCACATGCATTCCTGCATCTTTGTGTTATTTTTCTCTTAGTATTATTATTGATGTTGTTGTTTTGTTAATTTTATTCTGAATAGTTTCTCTTCATCAGTGGCATCAGAGGGGTCACTGTGTCTGTGAGAACTGCAGGAAGAGAGGAAGATAGTTTTGTTCTGAGAAGACAAACTGCAGAGAGCATAGAGGGGGCAGAGAAAGGACATGCCGTGAGGACGTGTCCTTTAGGGATGGACCATTATCCCCCATTGCACCCCTGCATTTCAGCACAATGCCAGAAACTTTCCCTTGGAGGCAGAGACCAAACAGCAACCTACGTCATTTTCTAGCAGCAGGGCTGGATTAAAAGAGCATGAGGGCCTGGGTCCATAAGGTCCAACTCACCATCACATTGTAGCAGCTAATGTTTGGTGAGGCACTTGTATGAGACCAAGACCAGGCCATGTCCCCATAAGCCCTTTAATTAACCCAAGCTGGGGCTAAGTATTAGAGCTCAGTTTCCCAGAGGGGAAAACAAATGGTTGGCTCCTCAGAAGGTGCCCTATCTACCCTCCAAGCTCTGAATGAGAGAACCCGAATGGAGGAAAGAATGTGACCCCCCAGTCCAGTCACTGGATAAACAACACTGGCAGACACTGAAGATATTCGCTTGTTAAAACTGAGCAGCAGGAATAGCAAGGTACCTGTCCTGTTCTACCATTTTTGAAGACTAAAGGTGTGTCCATATGACCATGGTATTTGGCTTGTGTTTCTTCCTCCTTGATATAGCTGGTCTTTTAATTATTACTTATGCAATTTTATTAAGCTTTTTTGTTGTATGGAATTATGTTTTCAGTTACATCTCCTTATTAAAGCTGTGGGTGTAGAGTCTGTGTAAAGGCCCTAATTCAGCAGCACATTTAATCACATGCTTGAGTGCTTTGCTGAATAAGGATGGACTTTAAGCACATGCTTAAAGTCAAAATGTTTGCTTAAGTGCATCACTATATTGGGGCCAATAAAGCAGGGAAGAGAGGAAGGGTTGGTTTTAATCTCACTTACCAGAATGTTTGATTTATTTATTGTGTTTTGCCTGTACATGGGTCTGTTTCGTTCCTCCACTATGCGCAACTCTGATTTCTGTGGCAATAGGGTGACAGAGCTTACGACGGTGCATTCTGTGGTGTGAAGGAATGCATTGCAAAGTGGAAGGGGCAGTTGTTTGTCCTGTTCGTGCTGAGAACAGAGCCGCGCTAGCTTTGGTTCTGATCCCAGTGCAGTCAGAGTCAGTGTTGCTGGAAGGGGTTGTAATAAGGATGAACGATGTATCCATAGTTTGAACTGTGTTTATGTTGCGATGCTAACTGAGGACTGAGTTTTCTGCTCGGTAGGGGGATGCAAAAAAATGCCTTTCCCTCCCTCTCTCTCTCTGAAAATATAGTATGGTAAGTGCAGTACTGTTAGCCACACAAGAGGGCAGACAATGTTAGTAGAGGAGCTAAATTCTTGGCAGGCACACTGTTGGTGCTACACACGTAACAATAGCTGAATTATTTAGCTTGCAGAGACCTTTGGAGTTGAAAATAGGATTGATGTGTTTTGGAATGAGCTTGGGGTTCTTTGTGTGTGTGAAGCAAACTGCTTGGAAACTTGAGTAAGGAGGTGAATGGTTCAGTACTGGAAGTATTACCGGTGGTTCCTGGTTGGCACAGTGTAGAAGTGACCCCTTTCCCCATCACAGTGTCTTGCTTTCGTCTGATGCTGGAAACGGGAGAGGTGAACAGACATTGCCTCTCTTACAGCTGGACATTCAAAGTGCTGCTATGAAACCAGAATATACAGAGAGGTGGAGGGACTAGTTACCTTGAGCGGAATGAAACAGCATAATGGACGAGCTAGAACTTTTCTCAGTGTAGACTGGGCCAAATCCAGCTGTTTGAAGAAGCAACTGCAATTGCATTCCCCAAACTGGAGTTGCACCTGCTTATACCGGGGTTGCATTTGACCCTCTGGGTAGATTTTTACTCCCTCGCTCTCCATAATAGTTCTGTCAAGAAACATTCCAGCAAAGGGACGCTTCTGTTTCTGTCATACTTCTTTTTTATATTCTCAATCCCTCTGAATTTGGTTTGAAAGAAATTCCATTACCAAACCTGAAAGGAAGATAAAAACCCATGTCTTTCTTTAACCAAAGAAGCTTAATAAATAAATTTAAATAAAGAGAGAAAGAGACCCTACCCATTACAGATACAGAATAAAGTCACAGGCCCTGACTGTCAGGCAATAATGACACGCTATGGAATTCTTTCTTTCTTTCTTTTTCTTTCCGTTTCTGTCACTTGTTTATGTTTTGATTAGCTAGCTTGTTGCGTGGAGAAATTCAGTCACACTAAAATATTGCTGCTATCCTAAACTTTAGGGGACATCAAAAATGTTATGCTTCTTT